CGTTCTTGCTACGCCACTCAATGCCTTACTCGGGTATATGTTTTTGTACTTGAGTTTAGCGTTCATGTTTTAGGCATTCTTATATTATGTTCTTACATTTTATTATTATTTTTTGTGTAGTTCTTAGCAGCCATTCTTCCCAGCCTCGAAACGGGTACCAAGGCCCCTACTTCTTCTACTAAGGCCCTCGAGGACAAATGTGAGGCGCAACTTAGAGAAATCGCCAAGCTGAAGGTGGATTTGGAGGGGTCTAAGGCCTTGGTTGATAAGTTAAGGGCTGACAAGGCTGTGGCCCATCACGACAACGAGAAACTCTGGGCCGATCTCGAAAAAGCTCGAGAGGAGGTGGTGTTCGAGAGGGATATCGGCATCATGCAGGGCCGCAAATCGTTTCTCAAGTCACCCATGGGTGCTCTCTTCCTCGAGACTTATCGCAAGGAGGTTGTCAAGGCCTTATGCAATTCGCCCGAGTTCCTCGACAAACTTTGTCCCGCTGCCGTTCAATATTTCGATCATACTTTTTGACGCCTGGGAGACGGTGGTGGCGGGGTCTGAATTTGCGGGAAGGTTCGACCGCGAAGCGATGAGGATGGCGCTTCCTGACCCTGAAGGTTATGAGGGTAACCCCTCCCACCCGGGCGATTACCAATGGTGGGTTGGCCTAGAGGCTAAAGCCATTCAAGCTGCCAAGCTTTCTTCCCGGCTCAAGGCTCCCTCCACTTCTCCGATCCAACCGGTCGAGCCTAGTCGTGAGGAAGGTCAGGTGGAAACTACTATTGACGAGGATAGTGACTCTTAGAATCGTATCTCTAGGCCTGTCGTCTTTTATTCTTTGTAATTTTCTTTTCTGTCATTTGTTTTTACTGTTTGTTCTTGTCTCGACTTAGTTCTCAGATTGTAAAGGTCGAGATGATTCTTGTAATGAACCTATCTTGAATATTATCTTTAGTTTTCTTTTGCTTGAATTGTCATGTACTCGCAACTTTGCAATTTAAATTGGTTTTAATCATGAATTCATCGATACTTCACTTGTTATAACTTCGTAGTCGTAAATTTATCGACACTTATTTGTTGACACTTTGTAGTTAAAATGACTTTATAGCCGTAGGCTTCATAGTCTTAACGAGATTTCGCTCGGGGCATACAACTTTGTAGTTGTTTGAGTCGACTTTGTAGTCGTAGGCTTCGTAGCCTTGTCGAGATTTCGCTCGGCGCATACAACATTGTAGTTGTTCGAGTCGACTTTGTAGTCGTAGGCTTCGTAGCCCTGCCGAGATTTTGCTCGAGGCATACAACTTTGCAGTTGTTCGAATCGACTTTGTAGTCGTAGGCTTCGTAGCCCTGCCGAGATTTCGCTCGAGGCATACAACTTTGCAGTTGTTCGAATCGACTTTGTAGTCGTAGGCTTCGTAGCCCTGCCGAGATTTCGCTCGAAGCATACAACTTTGTAGTTGTTCGAATCGACTTTGTAGTCGTTGGAGTTAATAGGCTTTATAGCCGTTCCAAAAGATTCGATTTTTCAAGTAGTTATAATAAAATCGACATGGAAATGTAAAAGACACAACTTAAACATAAACTTGGGAGTCGTTGCATTATTGAATTTGACTAAGCATTGTTCAATACAAAAGAGTTCGAAATGCTATTTTTAGGCATAAAAGCGTTTGAGATGGATCACGTGCCAAGATCGCGACAGCTGTCGTCCTTCGCCATCCTCGAGTTCATATGCCCCTGTTTCGAGTACTTTGGTGATGGTGTAAGGTCCTTCCCAGTTAGCTTCAAGCTTCCCGACATGTTTAAGAGCATCTGCTTGTTTGAGGACGAGATCTCCCACCTGAAAACGTCTGGTGCGGACTTTCCTGTCGAAGGCTGCACGCATCTTCTGCTTGTATTCCATGGATCGTACCCAGGCTTCCTCACATCCTTGTTCTATCATATCGAGGGCCTCTTTGACCATTTCCTCGTTCTTCTTTTCCTCATAAAATGTCGACCTGTGAGAATCTAAGCCTACTTCGATAGGCAGGAGTGCGTCCATTCCGTAAACCATGTGAAATGGTGACTGGCCTGTTGAGTTTCTCGGGGTCTTCCTATAGGCCCATAGAACCGTTGTCAGCTCATCGGCCCAAGCACCTGATGCTCTCTCCAAGCCCTTCTTCAACCCTTGGAGAATAGTTCGATTAGTTACTTCGACTTGCCCATTAGCCTGGGGGTGCGCGACCGAGGCAAACCTTTGCTTTATTCCCATGTCAAGGCACCATGCCTGAATTCGTTTCCCTTGGAACTGAGTTCCATTGTCAGAGATTAGTACTTTCAAAACTCCGAACCGACAACAGATATTGTTAAACAGGAATTGAATCATCTTTTCCTCCGTAATTTTTGCCAACGGTTCCGCTTCGACCCATTTGGTAAAATAGTCAACAGCGACCACTAAGAACTTCCTCTGCCCTGTCCCTGTCGGCAATGGTCCTACCAAGTCGATTCCCCATTGCGCGAAGGGGATCGGAGTGTTTATGGTCGTCATGTATTCGGCGGGGATATGAGTGATCTGCCCGTGGCGTTGACATTTTTCGCACCTTTGGACTAGTTGTTCCGCCATTGCCCGCATCTTGGGCCAATAGTATCCTGCTCGTAAGGCTTTGCCCGCCAGAGCTCGCGATCCTATATGTGCTCCGCAACATCCTTCATGTATTTCTTTCAAGACATGGGTTCCTTCGTCCTTAGAGATGTATTGCGAGTGAGGCCCAACCAGAGATTTTTTTAACATGACACTGTCGACTTCAAAATACTTGCTTAGATATCGAGCGACCCTTTCTGCCTCCTGCTTATCTCCCATAGGTACTCGACCCTGTAGGAGTTCATGAATCGATTTTCTCCAGTCATCCTTTTCCTCGACTTCTATTGTTTCGCCAACACGCTTCCCTCTAGATGCATGGTGGTGATAGAGCTTCCCATCTTCCCATCATTCAAGCTCGCGATTCTCGTGAGCCAATCTGCTCGTTTATTTTCCTCTTGAGGGATTTGTGTTAGTTCAAACATCTCCAGGCCCTGCACAAGACTTTGGATTTCTTCGAAATATTTCATCATTCGTTCTTCTTTAATCTCGCAACTTCCCAACACTTGTCCAACAACTAATTGTGAGTCGGAATGTGCCACAATTTCTGACACTCCTCCGCCAATTGCGAGTTGAATTCCTTTGATTAACGCCTCGTATTCTGCTTCATTATTTGAGGCCTTGAATCCCATTCTAATGGCAAAGTCAAGTTGCTCGCCCTCGGGTGATACGAGGACGATTCCCAGACCGGACCCTTTGGCCGCTGAGGACCATCGACGTGCATGATCCATTTCTTTTCTTCTCCCTTGGTACCTTCTTGGATAAAATCTGCCAGGGCTTGAGCTTTTATGGCTCGCCTCGGCTCATACTTGATAGAATATTCGCTCAGCTCGACTGCCCATTTAACGAGTCGACCTGATACCGTAGGTCAGCCCAATGTTTCACCCAGCTGGAAGTTCGTCCTGACTACTACCACATGATTCAGAAAATATGGCCTTAGTTTTCTAGCCGTTATCACCAGTGTCAAAGCGGCTTTCTCGATCTCAGAGTATCTCGTCTCTGCGCCCTGAAGAACTCGACTGGTGTAGTAAATTGGCTGTTGGACACCTCCTTCTTCTTGCAATAACACTGAACTTAGTGATACCGAACCCACAGATATATAAAGCACCAGCTCGTCGCCGGGCTCTGGTTTTGTCAACAAAGGCAACTCGCCCAAGAATTCTTTCAACTTTTCGAAGGCCATTTGTGCTTCGTCACTCCATGAGAAGGTTGACTTCTTTTTGAGTAATCTGAAGAACAGGAAGCTTTTTTTCGCGGCTCGAGCAATGAACCTGCTCAGCCCCGCAATTCGTCCCGTCAGAACTTGCACATCTCTTATGTTTCTTGGTGGAGCCATGTCGAGTATGGCTTTCACTTTTTCCCGGTTCACCTCGATTCCTCGCTCTGTGACGATATACCCCAAGAATCGTCGTGCCTTTACTCCAAAATCACACTTGCTTGGGTTCAGCTTCATCCCGAACGCCCTAAGGGTTTTGAACGTTTCCCTCAAGTCGTCTGGGTGTGAGGTTGAGGCCTTACTCTTTACCAAGATATCGTCCACATATACCTCGATATTTCACCCAATCTGGGATTTGAACATTCGATCCATCAACCGTTGGCAGGTTGTTCCAGCATTCTTAAGCCCAAAGGGCATGACGACATAGCAGTACGTCCCTTTACTCATCACGAAACTCACCTTACTCTGATCCTCCGGGCACAATGGAATCTGATGGTATCCCTGAGATGCATCCATCATACTCAGTAATTCGCAACCAGCCGTAGAGTCGACGAGCTGATCAATTCGTGGTAAGGGATAATGATCTTTTGGGCAGGCCAAGTTTAAGTCACGGAAGTCGATGCACATGCGCCATTTGTTTAATGCCTTTCTCACCATCACGGTGTTGGATATCCACTCGGGAAATTGGATCTCTTTGACGTGTCCTGCTCGCAGCAGCTTATCCACCTCAATTTCAACTGCTTTGTTGATTTCTTCACCATGGCGTCTAAGTCGTTGCTTTACTGGCTTTCTGAGGGGGTCGACGTTGAGTTTATGCTCCATAATAGTGGGTTCGATCCCCGTTAACTCCTCAGGGGTGAAGGCGAAGACATCTCTGAACTCCTTTAGTAGTGTGATGAGTTGGTTTCGCAGCTCGTCTTTCAGATCTTTCCCGACCTTAGTGGTCTGTTCCTTCATTTCTCCGATTTGTATCTCCATTAGCTCCCCATGTGGTTCGAGATCACTGTTTCTTGGCCTTTTCTCGCTCATCGCCGGCTTCTTTCCCTCAACTTCTGTTCATTGGTTTGTTTTCACAGCTATCTGGTAACAAGTTCTTGATAGCTTCTGGTCTCCTCGGGCCTCCCCTACTTTATCTCCGACGGGAAACTTCAGCTTCATGTGGTAGGTCGACACTACCGCCTGGAATGCGTTGAGCGCTGGCCTTCCTAGAATCACATTATAAGCCGACTCGACGTCGACTACAACAAATCGCACCATCTTTACTTTCCTCAAGTCGTCTTCCCCGAGGACGACAACGAGCATGGTTTCTTCTAGGGGTGTGACTTCCGATCCATTAAATCCAAAAAGTGAGGTGTGCAGGGGTGCAAGCTCGATGTCGAGTTCTATCCGTTTAAGACAATTGTAAAAGATCACATTCACTGAGCTTCCCGTGTCGACAAAGATCCTCTGCACTTCATAGCCTGATATTTGAGCAGTGATCATTAGAGCATCATTGTGAGGTCTCTCGACCTCCCCCATGTTTGCTGGCCCAAAATTCATCACTGGACCGTTTTCCTCAACCTGTTGCATTTCAATTTTTCCGTGGCGGCCTCGAGCATATGCCTTTCTGGCCCGGTTTGAATCTCCATCAGTCGGTCCTCCGAATATCATATAAATTATTCCTCTTTTCTGAGGGAGCTCCTCCTTGTCGGGTGTCCTCGCTCTCTTGCGAGGGCTCTTGCTTCTCTACCTTCGCCGACTGGTTCGATCTCGATCTTTATAAACGAACTCCTTTAGATGGCCTGCTTTGATTAGTCTCTCGATCTCATTCTTCAGGTGCTGACATTCGTTAGTATTATGCCCGTAATCCTTGTGGAATCGACAATACAGATCACTTTTGGGCTTTGTCGGTCCATCCTATCTCGTCCGTGGCAACCTGACAACACTTTCGCGGATCTCTTTCTTCATTACCTCCAATATCCTTGTATTCGAAGCCAACAGGGGGGTATATTGAGTTGTCCTCCATCCCCTTGATCGCCCCTCCCTTTCTGACTTCGGGGATCCTTTCCTTTCTCCCGACGTGATTGGTTTCTTATCCTTCTTCTCGTCCCTGGATTCAGTCTTTGCTTTAGCCGCTTGCAAAAAGTCGGCTTCGGCTTCCTTGACATTCATGTATTTGGCGCACCTTCCTAGGACCTCATCAAACGTCCTCCCGAGTCGTTTTACCAAGGAATTTCTGCACAATCCCGGGAGGAGTCCTCTAGTGAGTCCCCCCGATTTGATTTCCTCAGTGGCTGAGGGGACGTCGACACATGCTCGAGTGTATCTTGCCACGTAATCCCTCAATGATTCTCCTTCTTTCTGTTGCATGCCTATCAGGGTAAGGTAAGACTTTTCTTGGGCCTTTACACTTGCGAATTGATTCAGGAAACTTGAACTAAATCCGTCAAAGTCCCTGACGGCTCCCGGGGGCAATTGATGAAACCAGTCTTGCGCAGGTCCTCGCAGAGTCGTCAGGAATGCTCGACATTGAACAGGATCATTGTAGCGGTGCAATACCGCCATGTTTTCAAAACTCCTCAGATGTCGAGAGGGTTCAGTCGACCCGTCGTACCAGATGTTAAGTTCTCTAAACCCCTAAGGCAAGTCAGCGTCTAGAATGTGTTGTGAAAAAGGGTGTCCCCTCGAGCTTCCTGTTTTTCTCCCCTCGACTCGAGCCTGCAAATCTCGCACCTGTGCTAATAACTGCTCCAGGGTGTCGTTTCTCGCCTGTGGATTGACAGTCCTGACAGAGGATTCCTCTTCATCGACTCTTCGGTTCTGCCTCTCTTGCGACTGCGCTTGCTGTTCGCGCTCCGGGGGTGGTTGTTCATTTTGAGGCTGCTCAACCCTTGCTTGCTCGATCCTGGGCCGCTCGACCCTTGGTTGTTCGACTTGCGCTTGTTTGATTTGGGCCGCCACGACCTCTACAATCATTCTTTGCATCTCGTCCCTTGTCATAGTCTACGTTTGCTCCTCGACTTGGGGCGGCGGTCTCTTTTCCTGCTCGAGCGGTCCAGGCTGCTTTCCCATACTTAGGGACGTCTCGGTTGACTCACGACCATTGACTTCTCCACTCGTGTTTTTCATGTGGCTGGTCTCCCCTTGAGTAAGCACGGGGATCTTGACCCCAGGTGGGGTAATTGGCGTTTCTTCTCCCGCACGCCCTCCCGCCGGCGCGTGCATCCCGAACGGTGAAAATCCCAGCACCTGGAGCGGTGGTCTAGGGCAGGGGATCGTCGGTGGTCGTTTATCTGTCCATGCTCCCCTGAAATCCTCGTTTAAGTTTCTCTACAGTCCTTCTTTCTCGGCCATCGGAAACAGATCGGAACTAGGTGAAAAGCTCTTACTTCCTTCAAGAACTCCCCACAGACGGCACCAAAATGATGGGTCTCCTCTCAGATCTGGAGTGAACCGATGAGAAACCACCCAGATCTGGAATGAACCGATGGGAATGAGCTCAGATCTGACTCGATAGCCTCCAAACCGTTGCTGAACCGCGAGAACACCTGCAAGAACTCAACGCCGGAGGGGTTTCCGGCGTAGAGCCTCCGACGCTCAAGTCAGTATGTGAAAAAGATGAAGAGAGCTGCTCTAAGAGAGCAACAGCAGTAATGGAGAAGAATGTAGAATGAATGGGAGTTAGGGTTTTGGAGTTACCTCAGCTCCTTTATATAGAAGTAAAACATCTACCTGAAGTCCCCAAAATGCCCTGGCCGACTTACTAGAAATGTCCAAAATACCCTGGTCGGTTCACATTCTGTCCACCTCCTAGTCAGCATCTAGATTCTTCCTTATCCTTTAATAACTTCCCTCTGATATATTGAAGTGTATTGGAGTCGTCAGGGGTCCATGAACCCCGAGACTACCTCAGTCGACTTCGAGATATCCTTGTATTCGAGTCGGCTGGGTCATTCCCCAACAGCTAGTAGATCCTCATACACTAATTCATCCTTCCAGACGGAATCGACTTAGGCTAGTCGACATGGTGGAAGTAGACTAAGAAAAGCATCCGGGCCTGCGACCGAAAGTATTATCACGAGGAGACATGTGGGTGGAGTCGACTTCAGGTGAGTCGACTCGACAATGTCCGAGTCGGGAAAACATAAACCGCTTTATGATAGTATGGTTATATCACCTATATTTTTCCTACCCTAACCAAAGATCCTACATTACAACCAAATGAAAAGTCCTTTTGATTCATAAATTGCATGCACAATAAGTGGTGGAGATAGTAGACCATTTGCAAACTTATGGTAATTCTTCAACATTGAATTGACTTGAGCGATTATTTCCCTATACACTTTGGAGAGTGAGAGTATACACTTATCCAGTGTGGTTTGTGGATTGGAAGTATTAACCATGATTTTGATGAAGTATTCTTTATGTTTAAAAATTTCAGAACTTGGTTATGTTATTTGCCTGATGCCTATTGATCAGAATGTGTATGATTGACATTGAGAGAGTGATTGTTTTTACTTGTGTGTTGATAGGAGTTTGATGCATTGATCGGGACTATCAATGGTTTAAGTTTGGGGGTTCGTTCATGTGTGATTTTACACCATATTTATAAAGTATCTAGAGCTTATTCATTTCATTATTGGTGTATAAATTGCATTATTGTGCTTTAATTTTATATCTTGTTGGAAAGGTATTACACGTGCTTGTTTTGTAGATATTTTCCACATATTTGTAGAGCTTTTGGCTATTGGAGGCGCATGGTGAGTACCTAGAAACCCCGAGATGATGAAAGATTGATGTACGGAATAAAAAAAGGAAGAAACGAGTGAAACGAGCGAAAATTAGAGTGCAGATTTGTGAGACGGGCATGATGCCCGTGTCAGAGGCCGTGTCACCTAACTGGGGGATTTCGAAGCCTTAGATCTGACACGGGCTGTGACACAGCCAGTGACATAGGCAGACTGGTCGTGTCGCGTGCGCAGGCAGATTTTTAAAGCTTGTCTTTTTGGATAAGGAGAAGGCTTTTGGACATATAAAAAGACATATTTACTTTGTTTTGATGAAAAAAAAAGAACGTGAATACGCAAGGAGAAGAGACCTAGAACACATAAAAGAAGCAATTGAGGAGCAAAAAGAGGATCAACTACCAAGGGATCAAGAAGATTGAAGGATCGACAAGAAGAAGGACAATTTCTTTGAGTTTTATTCTTGCGAATGTACTCCCCAGGAGCGGTGTTGTTGCGAAAAGAAGGACAATTTCCTATCTATTATGTGAGTAGGGTGATGCAAGGAGCAAAGATTGAGAGGTGTGCTCTGGTGGTAGTTGTAACTGCTCGAAAACTGAGGCCTTATTTCTTAAATCATAAAGTGAGGGTGAGGACGAATATGCCGCTGGGAGAGACGCTCGGGCGGCCTTCAGTGTCTGATCGATTGGTGAAATGGACAGTCGAGCTGAGTGAGTATTCGCTAATATATGAGCCGAGGAGGGCTATCAAGGCGCAGGTATTGGCGGATTTTATCCAGGAGGGTACAAAAATCGAGGAAGAGTATGGAGGAGTACGGCAGTTGTTCGTGGATGGATCTGTGGCGAGAAGTGAAGCAGGATTGGGGATTGTTCTTGTTTCTCTTAAGGGCTATTATTTGGAGTTTGCAGCCAATATGGGATTCAAGGTGTCCAATAATGAAGCTGAGTACGAGGCGGTGATCAAATGTCTGCAATTAGCTATGGTGGAGGGAGCCTGAAAGGTGCAAGTGTATTCTGATTCTCAATTGGTGGTTGGGCAGTTTCAGGAAGGATTCGGAGTTAAGGAGGACAGGATGCAGAAATATGTGGACGAGATGAAAAAGTTGAAAGAGGAATTTGATTCATTCGAGCTAATACAGATCCCTCGAGGGGAGAATGGCCAAGCAGACTTGTTATCAAAGATTGTTCAAAGTTTGGTGGATTGCAAAAGTAGAAGTGTGACTCTATTGTATTTGGAGAAAAGTGTAGTCGATGCGGAGGTGGTTGAGATCGAGGAGGTTGAGGATTGGAGGGCCCCAATCTTAAGGGAGTTGAAAGAGGGGGTGTTGAAGGTAGTAATGAGGTTTTTTGAGCATGAAGGTGTTCTTTACAAGCAGTCGTATACCAGAACGCATTTGTCGTGCGTGACAAAAGAGGAGGGTCAATACGTGCTGAGAGAAGTGCACGAGGGATGTTGTAGCGACCATAGCAAGTCGGAGGCCTTATTCGCAAAAATTTGAGGGCAGGGTATTTCTGGCCGACGATGAAAGAGGAGCCTAGGGTTATGGTGAAGAAGTGTTTGCAATGACAGAAGCACGGCCCATTAATTCATCAGCCTGCAGAAGCCATGACAACAATGAGTGCCCCTATACCATTCGTCCATTGGGGAATCGACCTGTGGGGCCGATGCCGCAGGGGACGGGGCAGAGAAAATCCTTGATTGTGGACTATTCACGAAATCGGTGGAGGCCGACCCCTTGGCAAAGATCACGGAGGAGAAAGACATCAATTTCTTATATAACAATATTTGATGCAGGTTTGGCGTGCCCAAAGTGTTGATATCCGACAATGGAACTCAATTCAATGGTAAGCGGATTCGAGCATGGTGTGAGGATATGAAGATCGAGCAACACTTTGCCTCTGTCGCTCATCCGCAAGCCAATGGCCAAGTCGAGGTGACAAACCGAATTATACTGAATGGGCTGAAAACAAGGCTCGAAAAGGCCTCGAGGGCGTGGGTCGACGAGCTAACTTCAGTACTTTGGGCATATCGCACGACCCCGAGGTCGACAACAGGAGAAACCCCCTTCAGTCTAGTTCATGGGATGAAAGCGCTGCTGCCAATCGAGGTCGAGCTATCATCGCAAAGGTCGAGCACATATGACCCGGAGCAAAATGAAGATCTCATGACGGTGGGTTTAGATACTACTGAGGAGCTACACAAAAGGGCAACGATCAGGGTGAAGGCGTACAAACAAAGGATGCGAGAAGCTCATGACAAGAAGGTAAAAGTCTGCAGATTTCAAGTAGGTGGCTTGGTTTGGAAACGCGTTGATGTGCTCAAACACGTGGGGAAGCTGGAACCAAACTGGGAAGGACCATACCTGGTCGAGAAAGTGTATGCAGGAGGAGCATACTCTCTAAAGGATGTAGAAGGACGATCACTTGCCAGGTCATGGAACATAGCTAATTTGAAAAAATATTATGTGTAAGATTTTTTCTTTTTTCAAAAAGATTTTGGAAGTTTGAACAAAGATGTAACTCGCAAATCCTGTTCAGAAGTTAATGGAATTCAGTTATCTTTCGGTATTACTTGCTTTATTGAGTACCTTCTTATGCTTGGAATGTTGGAATGATTTGGATGATAGCATGTATGATATGGTCGCTTGTTTGGAACATCCCTTAGGGTTGGCAGGTTGGTCGATTACTCACGCCCTCGGGCTGGGTGGCCTCCTGTTTGGCACATTCCTCGCGGGTGGGCAAGTGTGAAGATCCAAACCCACCATGACTAAGGCTCTCAGGCTGGGTGGTCGCTTATTTGGAACATCCCTTGGGGTGGGCAGGTTGGTCGATTACTCACGCCCTCGGGCTGGGTGACCTCATGTTTGGCACATTTCTCGCGGGTGGGAAAGTGTGAAGACCAAAACCCACCACGACTAAGGCCCTCGGGCTAGGTGGTCGCTTGTTTAGAACATCCCTTGGGGTGGGCAGGTTGGTTGATTACTCACGCCCTCGGGCTGGGTGGATGAGCACGAAGGCAAGAAGACCAATAATGAGTTAAATGAAGCAGATACACCGAAGATAAAATTTCAAGCCCAATGGACAACCATGGCGACGCAGGCACGAAAGAGAAACCCAATTCAAAATTTAAAATCCATCATGTATAAGGCCATGAGGCTGGATGGTCGCATGCTTCGACCACCTCTGAAGGTGGGCCTGTGCTCAAAATTTAAAATCCATCATGTTTAAGGCCATGAGGCTGGATGGTCGCATGCTTCGACCACCTCTGAAGGTGGGAATGTGTTCAAAATTTAAAATCCATCATGTTTAAGGCCATGAGGCTGGATAGTCGCATGCTTCGACCACCTCGAAAGGTGAGCATGTGTTCAAAATTTAAAATCCATCATGTTTAAGGCCATGAGGCTGGATGGTCGCATGCTTCGACCACTTCTGAAGGTGTGCATGTGTTCAAAATTTAAAATCCATTATGTTTAAGGCCATTAGGCTGGATGGTCACATGCTTCGACCACCTCTGAAGGTGGGCATGTGTTCAAAATTTAAAATCCATGATGTTTAAGGCCATGAGGCTGGATGGTCGCATGCTTCAATCACCTCTGAAGGTGAGCATGTGTTCAAAATTTAAAATCCATCATGTTTAAAGCCATGAGGATGGATGATCACATGCTTCGACCACCTCTGAAGGTGGGCATGTGTCATCATGTTTAAGGCCATGAGGCTGGATGGTCACATGCTTCGACCACCTCTGAAGGTGGGCATGTGTTCAAAATTTAAAATCCATTATGTTTAAGGCCATGAGGCTAGACCGTTGCATGCTTCGACCACCTCTGAAGGTGGGCATATGTTCAAAATTTAAAGCCCATCGTGTGTTAAAAGGCGGAGAATGTGTTGATCCTATATGGAAGTTCATTTCGATCATACCGTTGGAAAGTTATACAAGTATGTCAAATCAGATCATCACAAGCATCACCAAAGATAGAGACGAATTAAACAAAATATTTTCATTTCAAGAAAACCATGAAGAGTTCACACATTACAAAAGTTCATTCAAATACAAATAGCAACTAAAAAATACAACAGTACACTACGGAGGAGGGGCGACAGTCGAGACGGTGTTGCTCGAGCTGGTGTTGGATCGAGCTGGTGGCTTGTGCCAGAGGTCGAGTCGCAGGCTTCGTTAAGTGGGCGTTGTCGAATAGATTCAGCCATGGCAACCAACATGGCGGTACGAGGAGTAGCCCATCGGG